TAACAATTATACAAAAAAAATATTATATATTAAAATATTAAAAAGTAAAAAAAATAAATAGTTTAAAATAACAGAAATAAAAAAAAATAAATAAAAAAAACAATTAAAACATTAAGTAATAAATCAAATAATAACTAGTAAAACGTTTAAATAAAATCAAAAAATTAATAAATAAAAATTATTACAAACTATATAAAAATTAATAATTATATAATATATAAGTATAAATAAATAAAAAAATAATAATAAAAAAAACAATTATAAAATGTAATATAAATAAATAGTTAAAAAAATAAGAACTAAAAAAAAATAAGAACTTAGAAGTAAATCAAATAATAACTATAAAAAAAATTAAATATATATTTAAAAGGTTGAATGAAAAATTAAAAAAATGAATAAAATAAAAAAATAAATTACAAATCGAAAATATAAATATTTTATATATAAATATAAATATTTTAAGTAAAAAAATAGTTATATATAAAAAATTGTAAAATTTTAATAATAAACTAAAAAAATGAATAAAGAGAAATAAATTAATAAAAAAAATAAATTTAAATAATAAGAAATAAATAATTACAAATAAATAATTCAATTAAAAATAAATAAATAAAAAATGAGTGGTTTATAAAAAGTAAATAAAGAACAAGTACAAATGTTTTAAGATCCGGGCCGGGTCGGGCCGAACTTTTAACACCCTCCCACATGATATAAATAAACCCATTTTAAAATAAAAGAGACATTGTATATTGGGTCCACTTTCGTTTTTACCAGTGGAATTGGTTGGTGAAAAGGCTTAAAAATGCCGTCAAGCCATTACTTACACTGCCTTTACACGGTGACATTTTTTAACCATGCCATTTTTTTTGTTGGTAAAAGGTGTAGAGAGACAAGGATAGAAGAAAAAATGGCACGATAAGCCACCGCACAGGGTTACATGCAATTTTCTTTGCATTTCTTTTTTTGCTTCTTCCGAATTTTTTATGATTTTGACATTTCATATCGTTTCTTTATTGTAATTTTTGATGCGTTTCTTTTATTGTGATGTTATGTTTTTAGTGACTGAATTGTATAGTGAATTATATGAAAATTAATTGGAAGTATTAAAAAGTAAAAAAAGAAAGTTAAAATAAAAGTTAATAATGCAATATTTAACACCTCAATAACTTTTTCCATCATTTCTTCTTTAGATTCACACATTTAATTTTAAATCACTTCTTTATAAATATCTGTTACAAACAATTAGCTCTATACGAAATACTGAATAAAATAAAATGTCAGAAAAAATTCCAGGCACTATTATCGTAAAATGGCACCGCGTAAAGGCGCGAAGATTTACGCAGAAATTTTAAAAGAGAATTGATAAAAATGCCAGCTAAAAATTGCATCGTGTAAAGGCAGTGTTAATCTACATAGAATTTTTTGCTGATCAAGAGAATATATTCAAATTTCAACGGCTCTGGCATCAATTATAACAATTATTTCAATCCATTATGAATATAATCAAGATTACGATAGCGCGATTAATGCAAAAAATAATAAAGGAACACCATTGAGATACCTTCTTTCACCTACCAACAGTCACAACAATAAAAAAAAAACATAATCAGACAATTCTTGAGTACATGTCATTGCAAAAAATAACCCTCACTCACTCACTCTCCCTCGCTCACTCTCTGAGTGCATAGAAGAGCACAGAATTATGGGTTATTTTTCGAAGAGGGACTGGTGGTTCTCTACACATGTGCATTTATTTAAGTTTTCATTTTATTTTTGTTTTGTTATTTTTTCTTATTATACTATAGAATTTTACTAAGAATCTGTAGAATGAACATTGCAATATACATTTCGATTCACATACCTACATTTATTTTCTTTTTCAATCATTGACAAAACAGCAGCAAAAGGCGCATTTAGATAAACAATAAAAACACAAAAAAAAAAAAAGAAATGAAAGAAACAACACCAAAAATCCCCATATCTACAAATCTACAAATTTATTTTACGTTAAGAAAAAAATAATAAAAAAACACTACGCGCGCATAAATACGTTTGATTTTTCGGTTTGGCTTTTTTAATGAAATACAAAAAATAAATAAATAAAAAACTGTGTTGTTTATTCTAAAGGGGGAAAGAAACACAAAAAAATACCGAAAAACAACACTCATATTTATACAATGCGAAATATGTGTATGGACAGTGGATGTGGTCACAGTGGGATGAAGGGACACAACTTGTTTTTTTTTTTTCGAAAAAAACATAATAAAAAAAAATATGTAAACTAAAAATTACTGAATAATAATTAAAATAAATAAAAATAACATATAACTAGTAAAAAATAAGTAAAGAAAATAAATTACTAAAAAACAAATAAAACTCAGAATATAAAAATTAAAAAATATTTGCAATGTATTAAAAATAATTAACAAAAAATAAATGAATAGCTAAAAAATATATTAATTAAAAAAATTGAATGATTAAAATCCATTAGTAATAATAAATAATAAATTAATATAAAATTACATTAAAAAAAAATAAATAAAAATAAATAAACAATGAATTAAAAAAATAAATAAAAAAATAATAATGAATTAATATAAAAATAACTTAATAAAATAAATAAATAAATAAAAAATAAAAATAAATAAATGAATAAAAATAAATAATAAATAAAAATAAATAATAAAAATAAATAAATAAATAAATAAATAAATAAATAAATAAATAAAAATAAATAAATAAAAAATTATAAAGAAATAAAAATAAATAAAAAAATAAAAATAAATAAAATAGTTAATAAATAAAAAAAATTAAATATTGAATTAACATAAAGATAAATAAATAAAAAAATAAAAATAAATATAAAAATAAATAAAAAATATAAAAATAAATAAATAAAATAAAAATAAATAGATTAAAAATTTAGTGAATAAATAATAAAAAAAATATAAACATAATAATAAATAAATAAAAAATAACGAATACAAAAATTAAATAATGAATTAATATAAAAATAAATAAAAAAATAAAATAAATGAATGAATAATTAATTATTATATTATAATATTATATTAAACAAATTAATAAAAAAAAATAATAAATAAATAAATAAAAATTTAATAATGAATTAATATAAAAATAAATTAAAAATAAAAATAGAAATAAATAAATAAATGTAAAGCAATAAAACTCAAAATATAAAACATAAAAAAATTGATACATAACAAATTATGAACATATAAATATATGAAAATAAATAAATAAATAAATAAGAAAAAAACACAATTAATTTGAAAAATAAATAAAATAATAAATAAAAAACTTAATAGTGTATTAATATAAAAGTAAATAAATAAATAATAAATAAAAATATAAATAAATAAAAAAATAAAAATATAAATAAATAAAAAATAAAAATGAATAAATAAATAATAAATAAAAAATAAACAATGAATTAATATAAAAATAAATAAATAATAAAATAAAAAATAAATAAATATAAAATATAAATAAATAAAAAAATAATGAATAAATATAATGATTAAAAAATAAAACAGTAAATAATGAATTAATATAAAAATGATAAAAAATAAAATAAATTATAATAAAATAACTTTTTTTAAAATATATAAAGAAAAACTTTAAAATGAATAAATAAAAAAATAAAACAGAAAAAAATATAAAAAATAACAAAATAAAAATGAATTAATATTAAAATAAATAACAAAAAAAAAATAAATAAATAAGAAAATAAAAATAAATAATAAAAGTAAATAATAAATAAAAAAAATTAAATAATGAATTAATATTAAAAATAAATAAAAAATATAAAAATAAATGAAAAAATATAAAAATAAATAAACAAAAAATATAAAAAAAATCAAAATAAAAATAAATAAAATAATTAATAAATAAAAAATTAAATAATGAATTAATATAAAAATAAAAAATGGAAAAAATAAAAATATAAAAATTAAAATAAATAAACAAAATACAAATAAATAAAAAATAAAAATATATAAATTAAAATAAAAAAAAAAAAAAAAAACAAAAACACAAACAAAAAAATAAAAATAAATAATTAATTATTAAAAAATTATGTAATGAATTAATATAAAAATAAATAAAAAATATAAAAATAAATAAAAATAAATAAATAAAAAAAAAATAAATAAATAAAAAAATAAAAATAAATAATTAAAAAAAATAAAAATAAATAAATAAATAAAATAAATGAAAATATAAAAATAAATAAAATAAATAAATAAAAAATTTAACAATGAATTAATATAAAAAAATAAATAAAAAATTAAATAATAAATAAATATTATAATAAATAAATAAATAAATAAAAATGAATAAAAAAGCGTTGGCTTGTTTGTTCAGTATTTTGTTGTTGCAAAAAAAAAAATATAAAAACAAAAATATAATATATAATAAATTAAAAATTAATTAATATAAAAATAAATAAAACTCAAAATATAAAACATAAAAAAAGGTATACGTAATAAATTTATAAACACATAAATATAAAAATAAACAAGTAAAAATAAATAAAGTAAATATATGTAAATTAGAATAAATACCATATAAAAAATAATATATTTTAATTAGACATAGAACTAAATATCTATTTATTAATAAAATTAGTGTATAAATAAATAAATAAAATACAATAAATAATATATAAAAAGTAAAATATTTTAGTAATAGAAATAAACATTTATTTATTAATAAAACGTGTGTATAAATAAATAAGTAAATAACAACATTAATAAAAAATGAAACTTAAAATAAATAAATACACAAATATGTAAATTCAAAATTTAACAAATAATTAATAAAATATGAAAATAAATAAATAATTAATAAATTAAGAATTTGTTGACTGTATAAAATATGCATACTTATATTAGTTAATAATATATTCTATTTTAGTATAATTTAAAAAAATACAATTCCAACTCATATTAATTATTTTCTTCTTCTTTTTATTACAGCTGATTGTATTGGCAACAGAACAAAAAAAATATAAGTAAGTATCACAAAACATAATTAATTTTTTTTTATCAAAAAATAGTAATAATTTTAAGAATTTATAGATGATATTGCATTGAAGTATTTGAAATCTAATAACGAAGGCTTTAGCCGGCCAGTCTATTTTCAAATCCCATGGACATTTATGGTTTAAAAATTTGCCAATGATTAAAAAAAAAACATGACTATTGACCTGCTGGCTTTTTAATTTTATTTAAAAAAAATGTTAATAGGGTTCGTCCTTGGGTCAAAGAAATGACTTGTGCAAAATTTCATCGGGATCGGGCAATAAATGCGATCTGTACTTTGTTTATAAAAATACATGGACGGACGGACATTCATAAATCGACTCAGAATGTGATTCTATGCAGATCATCAAAAGGAACTATGGGTCTATCTCGTTTCCTTTTGCCTGTCACAAAAAATGCACAAAAACATAATACCCTGACCACCGTGTGGTGTAGGGTATGAACATTAGCTACTAGTGGTCCTTCAGTAGTCCTTCAAAATTAAAAAAAATAAGCAATTACCTGTCTGTGTGTCCATGAAAAAATGTTTTATAAATCCTTGAATATTGATTTCCTGGTAATTTTTCGAAATTTAATAAAAAGTCCTTTTTTGGTCCCTGAAAAAAATTTTTTTTTTCAAAAATTAAATTTAAATTTCAACCCACTGTGCATCGACGATCGCCCTACAGACTAAATCTATCAGCTTTTGCAACTTTGTATTGATTGCGAGCGATAAACAAATTTTGTTTATGAACGAATGTTGTGTGGATGGATGATCGATGTGCGGTGTTTTTTGTGAAGGCATGAAGTGAGTTGTTGGCGACCGCCGCTGCTTTGCCATATTCGTATGTATTGATGAACGGGCCGTACTTTCGTGTACTACAAACGTACAAAGTTCCATATGGTGGCAAAGAACTACAAAAAACATGGTAGTAGATCCACAGGCCAAGATATCAACCTGGGTAGGGAGGGAGGTAGGTCATTTGTTGGTGTTATGTAGTAGATAGAGATATCCGTTGGTTTGTTTATTTACGTATGAAGAGAAAATATGTATATGTAAATATAAAATATAAAAATCTAAAATACAGGGTGAGATGAAAAAACTGCAACCAACTTCAGACTGCTGTCATATCCAAGCCACTCATCCGACAGCTGTTAAACGTATTCCAGTGACAGCTCATTAAATTGTTTACAAGCGTACAAATGCATTTTGGTGAGGATTTTCCCGGAAAAAAGTTATTCGTGAAGGAATTCAAGCGGGATAGTGTGATTTCTTTGTATTTGGCTGGCGAACCACAAGTGGCTATCGTTAGAGCACACTCCAGCATTTAAATGTGAATAAATCTTCTGTGTGTCTCGTACCATCGCTCGTTACCGTGATACTGGTAGCGTAGCCCGACATCAAGGAAGTGGACGGAACATCAGCAGAAATGGTTCGAAAAGTAAAGAAGCGACTTGATCGAAACTAGCGTCGCAGTGGCCGAAAAATGCCTCGTGAGCTGAACATATCGCAATATTCCATTCGGCAAATATTGAAAAATGAGCTCGGGGTAAGGCCATTGAAATTCCAAAAAGTGCAAGAACTTACACCGCAACGGAACAGAATGAAAGTAGACTCAAAAGAGCTAAAGAGTTGCTTCGCTTGGCCAAAAGTGGTGAACTGCCGAATTTGGTTTTTTCTCTCTCTCTCTCTCTCTCTCTCCGATGAGAAAACATTCGTTGTCCGGCAGTTTGTAAACAAACAAAATTATCGTGTTCACTTGCCAAAGAGGTCAGCTGAAAATGAGCACCTTCGGTTGGCTACCAGAACTCACTTAAGCGCCGGCCATGGTGATAGTGTGGGCCACCATAACAGCCGACGGTCGCTCTCCGCTTGTATTAATCGACCGTGGCATCAGAAAAAATGCCGAATATTATTGCGAATATATTCTGGAGGGCGTATTAAAGCCTTGGGCACGCAAACATTTTGGCCGCAGACCTTGGACATTCTAACAGGACTCAGCACGCGCCACCCAAAAATGGTTACAAAATAAGGTGGTTCCTCGTTTCATTTCCAGCGCACTATGGTCACCAAAATCTTCGGATACCAATCCGTTGGACTATTGTGTCTAGAGTATTTTGGAAAGCAAGGTTGGCACTAAAAAATACCAAAGTGTCGATCACCTACCTCAAGTAAGCGCTTCGTCGGGAATGGGCCAAAATACCGCAGAGCAACATTCGGGCAGCGTGTGACGGTTTCATTCGTCGTTTGAAGGCCATAATTCGTGGCAAAGGTGACCAATTCGAACAAATCTAAACTTATTTGAAAATTTCCGACTATTTCCGAACTTTTTGGCTTTCATTCAATAACATTTAAAAAAAACCTGTAAAAATTATGGCGTTTGACTTTGTTGCCGATTTTTTTTATCTCACCCTGTATTATTATTAATAAATAATAATGAATTGAATTTTTTTTTTGTTTTATCTTCGGAGATTTTTGCTGACTGTTTGTTGTTATTTTTCGTTTTTTGCTTTAATTGGTTGTTTTTATTTTTTATATTTTTTTTCTGTCGGTTTTTGACTGCTCCTCTGTCGTCTGTGCCATATTATCGATCTTTTAAAGCTTTCATCGTTTTTTTTTTTTTTTTTGCGCTTCACTACACCCTCTCCCTGCTCTCCTCCTGCTTCTCTTACGCCGGCCAGTATTGTACGTCGCCGTCGTACGTTGTGTTAATTTTAATTAATGAACATCGCTTCGCGTATTCTTCGTCTCGCCAGCAGAATAAATAATCTTTGGTAGTCATCGCCATCGCCATAGCCTAGCCACCACCAACCACCACCATCCACAGCGTCTGCAGCCCCAACCAACCATCCAATCCATTCTCTAAACCTTAAAAATACTTTTTCATAATCGTCGCAGAAATAAAATAAAAACAAATAGCAACAACAACAACAACAACAATAAAATACTATATTGCGAAAATCATTTGAACGAAAGATAAGAATCAAGCACGCCGTCGTACACCGTCGTACAAATATGGTAATGAAAGCCGTCTGCAAATGTGAAAAGCAAAAAAATGAAATTGAAAGAAAAGAAAAAAACAGAAGAAGAAGACACTGCGTTCCAAAACAATTGAGGCAATGAATGCATGGTTCATTGTATTTGATTGGGTGTCCATATTTAGACCGTGAATATGAATACTATAACCACCCACCACCCCTCCACTCAGGTGTTGAAGGCAAGGTGTTTTGTTTGGCTTTCTTTTGGAAATTTGGGAAGGGCCACCTTATAATTATGGAAAAAAACCCACATTTATGATATTTGACAACCACGAAATTTAGTATCCCTGAAAGTACAGGTGGGACCTTGAAAAATATTCATAAAAAATTCAGGATTTTTCATCTGGGGGTCCTTGAAAAATATTTCTTTAAAAAATTTCTCTAAAAAACTGGCGATTATTTAAAAAAAATCTACGAATTCGTTGCCTGCAGGTCTGGTCTGGACTGTAGGTGCCCGGAAAATTTTTTCTTTAAAAAAATCCACGATTATTGTCCTGTGAAACTATTCTTTTAAGAATTCATGAATTCCCTGAAAAAAATATTTAAAAATCCACGAATATTAACCTGTGAGTCCTTGAAAAAATTCACGAATAGTTTGTCGTGAGTCCTTGACTAACCTTGAAAAATTCCCATAACTTTGGTGTGAAGGTTAAATTAAGAAAAAGTTGAAAAAAAAATTAAACAAAATTAAAAAAATAAAAAAAAATTAAAAAATTTAAATAATTAAAAAAATAATTTAAGAAATTAAAAAAATAATTAAGAAAAAATTTAAAAATATAGAATAATAAAAAGAACTAATTTAAAAAATATCAGTTGGTTTAGCCGACAGATTCACACCCTCAGCTACTTAAATATATTTTGACTTCACATGTTTGACCCTCTTTGAAGTAGATTCCGAAGGAATGGGACAATATTGCGCATTTCGTATCGGACCTAAATAAATATGATATAAATATTGCAACGTGCCAAGTTTGGACTATATCGACAACTTCCTTTACTTTATATGAAATACAGGGTGAGATAAAAAAAATTTCAACAAAGTCAAACGCCATAATTTTTCATTTTTTATACCCTACACCACAAGGTGGTCAGGCTATTATGTCTTTGTGCATTTGTTTGTAACAGGCAAAAGCAAACGAGATAGACCCATAGTTCCTTTTGATGATCTGCATAGAATCACATTCTGAGTCGATTTATGCATGTCCGTCCGTCCGTCTTTCCATGTATTTTTGTGAACAAAGTACAGTTCGCATTTATTGCCCTATCCAGATGAAATTTTGCACAAATCATTTCTGTGGCCCAATGACGAACCCTATTGAAATTGGAGATAATCGGTCAAAATTTAGATATAGCTCCCACATATATCTTCGTCCGATTTGGCTTTTATTGTGTACCAAACGTGTAATATCAGTCCGGATAGTATGGAATTTTGCACATACAACCAAATTAGGCCTGAAAATAAGTATGCCAAATTTGATCGAGATCGGTTCAGATATAGCTATAGCTCCCATATATATTTTTCATCCGATTTGATATTTTAGTCCTCCGCAGCCGTAATATGCACTCTGTAACAACAATATTTGGGGAAATATATCAAATATAGCTCAGAAATACATTTACTAAATTTTATTGAGATCGGTTCAGATTTTGGATATAGCTCCCATATATAACTTCGTCCGATTTACCTTTTATTGTGAACCAAACGTCTAATATTTGTCTAAATCGGATGAAATTTGGCACTTACGACCTATTTGAGTCTAGAAGCTAGTATGTCAAATTTGGTGTAGATCGGTTCAGATATAGCTATAGCTCCCATATATACTGTTCATCCGATTTGTTACATTTGTTACCCACAGCCATAATATGCACTCCGTAACAACGATATTCAGGGATATATATGAAAAACAGTTCAGAAATATCTTTGCCAAATTTTATCAAGATCGGTTCAGAT